TTCGAGGGTCGTTGAACGAGAGGAAAGCCTGTGAATCGGTGGGCGACTTCGGCTTGGTGGATTGGGATTGCACGTGTAAAAACTGAATTTGAATGACTTGGTCACTGACCAAAAGAACTCTGCATGATCCTTCAAGTCTTTTTGGGGTGCCAAAGAACTGAACAAAACTTAAGAGAAGGGGATTTCCCCTCCCAAGAGGATCCCCACCCCACCACTTTCAAGTTTCTGTTTTCAAGAATCATGGTCGGGATGGGATTCCAGAAGGAATTCGCTGATTTGGTGTGATTGTGAGCGACAATTGCTCCCACAATCTGCCCTATGCCATTTTCCATCATTTTCCTGATTCTTGGACAAAGGTGCGGGAGGAAACTGGTGACTTGGCCGCTGGCTAGCCTGTCTTCTTAGACAAAGTTGAGAGGCTTGAACATTCTCCAAGTGGGTCAAGGAGTGTAGGGTTCCGAAAGCCCTGCCTTGGCACTGTGAGTCATCAACGCCGACAAAAAAAGACTCCACTGGCCTGGCTCAGACACTTGTTCGACCCGGGAGAGAGAGTGTGCAAAGACTTGTGGCCCCAAATGGAAAAACTATATACTCAGCTATTGTTCACTTCTGCACATATCAACCAAAGCCGCCCGCCCAGAAAACTCTGTTCCTCATGCTGGGAAGGTGGACGCTCCACCAGCTCCCTACTAACTAAGACATAAACTAAACAATATATATATATAGATATACAAAAGTGTGCACTTCACATATAGCAGGGCCATTCTGAACATCTCTCAATCCAAATTGATTGTTGTGTAAAGTTGGCAATCGATATTTTGGGGTCCCATCATGATCGGAGACATTCTTAGTTGATATCTGTAGCATCTTCGGCTGTCACTAAGTATTGAACCGGCTTGTCAAGCATCATCCGTCTTGTTGCTGTAAGTGGCGCACATGCCAAATAAGGCCTGCGTCTGGAATTTGCTCGAAAAAAAACATCCACTTTCATATCTCTCACAATGAATCGCTCCCACAAAGGGTCAACAATTCAAGCCATAAACAGATACTATACTGAGATTGAATGGCGGAAGGAATAGTCCATTCTCACACTCACACCGCCAGGAAACCTAAGCTCTTGACAGTTCTGGGCTTGTCAGTGCCACTTTTCCTGCCAAACCGCAGTTCGGGCGTGGACTTTCTGCCAGCGACCACCTACTCCTCGGTAAATCTAAGAATATACTCCGGATAAGCTTGCTCCGGTGCAAATGTCACAAACTCCATATGAGCCTGTACTCCGTTGCTTTGGCCATTGGGAATGCCGGGCTTTGCGATGATGGAATCGTACCGAATTTCGTGGGCACTGTTGGATGCGGATGCGCTAACATTCTTCGTAGGTGGGCCTTGAAGGCTCTGCTCAGGATCCCAGTATCAGGTCTTTTGCATCTTATCATCTTGCAAACCCACAAACAACACAATGAAATTAAAAACAAATCGAATCCGCCAACTGGAGCGAAACACAAAGCACTGACATGTAGTCCCTCCTAACAAAAGTATTGATCAATTCTGGAAAGGTGCGCGTCAAGTTTTTACACGGCCCTGATGCATAGTGTGGGTCTCCGATAGCAACACGAGCAACAAGCATAGTCCCCATCAATTGGGTCGATGCTTTCTCTTGCATGCCTTTGTTAGTGGCATACTGGGCACTTTTGCATGTTTGCGCAGCAAAGTATGTGCCCGACCCATAGAGCCCGCCTGACCTGGCAATTCGATTGTCGAAACCTTCTTTGGCAATCGTTTTTGCGAGGTCAAATTCTCTCGTGCCATGGAACAACAAAAGCTCATTGCCAACAAGGTCGACCTGAATGTCTGTGGCAAACCGAGTCAAGGCCTCGCCAACTGGTGGATCAATGACCCTGGGTTTGATTCCGTGCTGCTTATGTTTGTCAACAATGCTTCGCACATGGCGCTGATACCGGCGCCATAATTTCCGATTCTTGACCTGGTAAGCCTCGACCAGCCGAAAGGTCGATCTTCCGTGAAGGCAATCACAATCCGTCCCATCATGACGTGGCTTAGACCGATTTAGCACACCTTCTAAAGTTGACATCATGGCCGGATCTGTGCAAAGTATCTGTGCCGCATATGTACGTCCACTGATGTCCCTCCACTAATTGCAGAGACCGCACCCTGAAGAATCAGGACTGGAATCTCGAACTGCTTGCTATCAAACTTTTCACAAACACGTCTTTGGCTTTGGCTGTGGAAGTCGAGGAAACCCACTCACCAAGCATAAATGGGATCATCTATGACTATGACCAAATCCCATTGTCCCGCCGACTCACTAAACTCTGAGAACATCAAACCAGCTCGCAACTGAGATGAAATGAGCTGAAAGGAGCTAAGGACACTTAAGTCACTACGTTGGCTTCAAAGGTGGTTTCCTATGGTTTCTGAACAGGTCTGCTGGTTCAAGTCTCGAGACCTGGCCTCAAGCGGAGCTTGGCTCCGCTTCAAGCCTGCACGGGGTGAGCTGGGGCTTGGAAGCCATGGTGACACAAACTCGAGAACCAATCCATTTGTCAGAGGTGATTCGCCGGCCCTTACCATACCTGTAGTAACACTCCAATGTCCATGTAGTTGCAGTATATACATGCTGAACATTGATACCGACATAGTACAGCCTCAAGCAAAACAAAATCCGAAGAACTCCTGCCATGATCCCGCTGGATTCGTTCAGGGAACTCAAGTCAAAAAGACTGGCAAGATCCCTCCAGAACTGGGGGGTGAACGGACCAAACCACACGGATCCTTTTGCAGGATCTATGTTGGTAGGACTCTACAGTAGATGGTAGCTAGGAAAGTATCCTGAGAAACATAAATCCACGCCCATCCGATATCCATGGACCCAGACATGGATGCACACCCAAAACCTGCGAATTGGTGTTGGGTCACAAGAACCGAGGATCAAGATTCGCATTCAGTGGCTGTGTAATTCAGTCAGCCTGCTGGACCACACAACCCTTGCGAACATCCATGTGCAGGGCTTGGCTACAGTAGCAGGTGTGTTCGGGGAAATCGGATCGGCGGGCATCATTAGACTCTAGACAACTATCGGACCATTGCAACTCTGTGTGCTGTTTCATGTCTACCTTGCCACAAACTCCAGGTAGATAGGTCGAACTCTTTGTGAGTGCAAAGAAGAATGCTCACCACTCTTGGGAATCCCCAAGTACTCAGCTGCTTCGAAACCCAAGTACTGGGCTCGGTCCATGATTCGTCGGAACGGCAAACACTGCTACGTAGTTCCGATGCAGCTTCCACGTATTCTCCCCAAGCGGGTTCTGCGATTCGACCGGCTAAAACATCTGGACACCAAGAGTCAAAAAAATTGTTGAGAAAAGGATCAAACACATCAAGCAACCTCATGAATTTTCCAAAAACGCATTGGAGAATCATTTCAGGTCACTCGGGCACCGATCACCAGAACCTCAGCTGATGGGGTCAACTGCAAAACCTGAGAGATCACAAACAACTTCAACCGAGGATCTTCCTGGGGGTCACTTCAAACAAAAACTTAAACAACTTGTCCTCTTGCTGGTCCTCCTCTTGAGCCGTCTCGACCGCACGTTGCCCGGTCCGGGCTCCTTGAGGGTTGCTCCGATCGTGGTTGAGCAGGTCACCCGGAGGATCAGATCAACTGCCACCTGCTGAGGTGAGTGGTGCTTGGAGGGATGTCAATGGACATCAACTTGTTTTTCGGTGAAACAAACACGGAGGTGGAAGTGAGGCAACTCCTTCTCTTTCTTCTTTTGATAGTAGTGTTGGAAGGTCTTTCTTGGGAGTGTATATCATGGGTGTGTCTCAAAGTGAGGTGCGGTCGACATACACCCTCCTAGCGGGAAGCTGGTTGAATCACCCAAACCTATCATCCAAAAACTGTTTCGAGAATGCACGTGCGACACACAACAAAACAGTTGCTGCTGACATGCTTTTCACGCTTGCGAGATGGGACTTTACCCAACATCTATCTGATCAAGTTGACATAGCTGCTTGCCCAGCTACTACTGGTCACAGACTGAACACTGGCAAGGCTATCCAATCACCACCTACATCCACTTACTCAAACCTACTCCTCAATGAATCGCAAAATATATTCCGGATAAGCTTGTTCCGGTGCAAATGTCACGACTTCCATATGGGCCTGCACCCCGCCAGGCTGGCCATTTGGAATCCCCGGCTGTGCAATGATGGAATCGTGCCGGATTTCTTGTCCAGTTCTTATAGGTGGACCTTGGCAGCAAGCCATGCGGGTGAGAATCCTCCGAAACCGATGTACAAAATGGGTGGGGGTGTGAACACAACCACATGGGATCAGTTGTTCCAACTCAATTTAATAGACAGAAACCCATGTGACCACAGGAAGACATTATTGAATTGAACTTGTCTTTGACAACAAGGCAGGGGCCAACCAGGCAGCAATTAGGGAGATGGAGCCCGGAGCCCACCATGCTTTTCATGGAGTCTTCATGCGTACAAGTACGTAGCAGTCACCTCGTTCAAGCTTGGAAGCCAGCCTTTACTCAATTTTTCCCCAAACAATCTACTGTTGGGGTTCTATCTTAGCAAGAAAGAGCTGGCCACACTGACTGGCCGCGCCCCTGAACTGTGTGGCCAGGCTTTGTGGCCAGGTCTTGTCCTCCTCCTGTCCTCTGGCCGCGCTGACCAGCCCTGGCCACACTGACTGGCCGCGCCCCTGAACTCTGTGGCCGGGTCGTCCTCATCTTGTCTTCTGCTCTGCTCTTGTCTTCTCTCGTGGCCGAACAAATTTGACAAATAGCGATATCAATGCCGACAAAATTAATTGATGAAGCAGTTTGTTCTTGGGGGGGAAGTTTTCATCTTCAACAACAAAGGGAAAATGTCTTTGGTCTTGGAGAAGGCACGCGAACCTTGATAGGGACCTGGTGTATAGTAGGGATCACCTATCGCAACGCGGGCCAGAAGCAAAGTGCCAGGCATCTGCATTGATGCCTTGTTTTTTCATAGCTTCTTCAGTAGCATATTGAGCACTCTTGCAGGTTTGTATTGCAAAATATGCTCCTCTGCCAAACAGCCCTTCTCGTGCAATTCGACTGTCAAAACCTTCCTGCGCAATGGCGGTTACAGAATCCAAGTCCCGTGTGCCATGGAACAGCAAACGTTCATTGAAGGCAAAATCAACTTGCATAGACTCTGCTAGCTCATTCAGGGCTGTAGCATCTGGGCAAATGCCCACGGGTGTGATCTTGTACTTCTTGTGCTTGTCTCTGATGTTTTGCACATAGCGTTGATACCCACGCCACAGCATCAGATTCTTAACCTGATATGCTCCAACCAGCCGGAAGGTTGAGTTTCCATG